ATGTTGGTCCCAACACCATCTAATAAACATGTTGTTCCCCACACAATCTAATAAACATGTTGTGCCCCACACAATCTAATAAACATGTTGTTCCCCACACAATCTAATAAACATGTTGGTCCCCACACAATCTAATAAACATGTTGTGCCCCACACAATCTAATAGACATGTTGGTCCCCACACAATCTAATAAACATGTTGGCCCTCACACAATCTAATAAACATGTTGGTCCCCACACAATCTAATAAACATGTTGGTCCCCACACAATCTAATAAACATGTTGGTTCCCACACAATCTAATAAACATGTTGTTTCCCGCACAATCTAATAAACATGTTGGTCCCCACTCAGTCTAATAAACATGTTGGTCCCCACACAATCTAATAAACATGTTGGCCCCCACACAATCTAATTAACATGTTGTTCCCCACACAATCTAATAAGCATGTTGTTCCTCACACAATCTAATATACATGTTGTTCCCCACGCAATCTAATAAACATGTTGTTCCCCACACAATCTAATAAACATGTTGGTCCCCACACAATCTAATAAACATGTTGGCCCCCCCACACAATCTAATAAACATGTTGGTCCCCCCACAATCTGGGTCAGGACTCAATGCCCCCCCTCCCACCCCCTACCGCCCCTACCTAGTATTCGCTTGGGAGCATTTGACGCCCTTTGTGGTTGCCCCAAGGGTTTCTTTCAGCCATATTTCCGGGGAAAGCCAAGGGCCCTCCCCCCGTAGCAAAAATATGTCCAACAATAAACTAGCTAGCACCGCCCCCACCCCCACCCCCCCGAAAAATCTGAAGAAAATCTGAAGTGCCCCCCCCCCCCCGGGGGAAATGTCTGAAATAATCACTGGTTGTCTACCCCCTCCCTGATGCCGATCAATGTAGACAGTACGGTGATGTAACTAAGTTGGGTCCAAAAGAACACCCTGAGTGTGCACCACAACCGGAGTGACACAACCGGAGTGACACAACCGGAGTGACACAACCGGAGTGACACAACCGGAGTGACACAACCGGAGTGACACAGCCGGAGTGACACAACCGGAGTGACACAGCCGGAGTGACACAACTGGAGTGACACAACCGGAGTGACACAACCGGAGTGACACAACAAGAGAGACACAGCCGGAGTGACACAAACGGAGTGACACAACCGTAGTGACACAACCAGAGGGACACAACCGTAGTGACACAGCCGGAGTGACACAACCGGAGTGACACAGCCGGAGTGACACAACTGGAGTGACACAACCGGAGTGACACAACCGGAGTGACACAACTGGAGTGACACAGCCGGAGTGACACAACTGGAGTGACACAGCCGGAGTGACTTCAAGTTATATATATTTAAACGGCGTGCCCTAATACATAAGTTGCGCGCTAGTAGATTCCCTGTCCTCTCTGGAAAAAAAATTTCTGAAAGAAAAACTAAATTCAGGTAGTCTATACCCCAAACTGCACTCATTGATTTTCTGAGGAAAGGTCCACCGCTCACCAGACTCCTCCCCCTTTACATTTGATTGTCGTCCCGGCCATAACTTTCTGCCCGCCTACCCTAATCAAAAGGATAGTGACGTCACCTTTAAGAAACGCAAACCAGATGTTAGTAGTTAAGATGATGTTATCGAACTGACGAATCAATTATTTCCTTTGAATTTCGTACCTATAGTTATGCTAATTGGATTTCAAGGATAAAACTAAATGATGAAGCAAAAACATATCCTTTATCTTTAGCTGCAATCAAAAGCATAGCATTTAGCTGCAGCCAAAAGCATACCCTGTAGCAGCAGCCAAAAGCATAACCTTGAACTGCAATCAAAAGCATATCCTTTAGCGGCACCCAAAAGCATGCCATTTAGCTGCAGTCAAAAGCATACCATTTGGCTGAAGTCAACATCATACCTTAAGCTAAACTGAATATCGTTTTGATGGTTGAAGGTGTGGAGTTATAACTGATCATGATCACCGTTATGTCTAATGTTGTCACTGGTCGGCGCTGTAGCTAGGCTAAGTGTCACCCTGTGGGGATAAAGATGTTTGCCACTGCCCTTCGAAGACAAAACTCTGCACCAGGCCTGAAGTGCCGCCCCACCATACAAGAAATACAACTCCCCGAGGGGCGGATCACCCCTCTTCCCACCCTTCCTATGCCACTGATACTAACCTACTCAAACATCTGAGAAATCCCCCCCCTCCCGGAACATATTGTATTGAAGAAAACTGCGCACAGGCGCAAAATCAAGTGACTTTTGAACTCGTATAGAGAAGAAAATGTGTCAGTTGGATATGGGAATCGAACCGAACTCAATCCAAATAACATCAAACTCGAACCTTGCTGACGACCGATCTTCAATGTTTCTGGGGGGGCTGAATCCACGACAGCGAACCTATCACGAACTCATAAGAAACGAACATGTTTTACTATTGTGGCACGTGACTGCTTGCGTCAGAAATGTTAAAATTTTAATTGAAAATAGAAAACCAAATTACACAACGATTTGTTTGTAAACTGAAAATGATGTCCCTTTATAAAAAAGACCACCAAAATTAAGCGGTATAAATAAACTAGATGAAGTGGACCCAATTGTCCGCCCCAAAAATATGTGGCCCCCGGGATGGATGGTCCCTCCTCCCCATTTTCCTTCGCTCGTGATGCCCGTTGAACGTGTAAAAAGTATATGTCAGCCGCGCTCCTTAAAAGGGTAGTTACCACGGTTACCGTTGATAAGCATTGTGCTTTGCAAAGTAAACATTTCTTGTTGTTGATAACCGTTTGTGTACTGTTAGGAAGGTCAAAGTAAACATTCCTTGTTGTTGATACCCATTTGTGTACTGTAAGAAAGGTCAAAGTAAACATTTCTTGTTGTTGATATCCGTTTGTGTACTGTTAGAAAGATCAAAGTAAACATTTCTTGTTGTTGATACCCATTTGTGTACTGTTAGAAAGGTCAAAGTAAACATTTCTTGTTGTTGATATCCGTTTGTGTACTGTTAGGAAGGTCAAAGTAAACATTTCTTGTTGTTGATATCCGTTTGTGTACTGTTAGGAAGGTCAAAGTAAACATTTCTTGTTGTTGATATCCGTTTGTGTACTGTTAGGAAGGTCAAAGTATACATTTCTTGTTGTTGATATCCGTTTGTGTACTGTTAGGAAGGTCAAAGTAAACATTTCTTGTTGTTGATATCCGTTTGTGTACTGTTAGGAAGGTCAAAGTAAACATTTTTTGTTGTTGATATCCGTTTGTGTACTGTTAGGAAGGTCAAAGTAAACATTTCTTGTTGTTGATATCCGTTTGTGTACTGTTAGGAAGGTCAAAGTAAACATTTCTTGTTGTTGATATCCGTTTGTGTACTGTTAGGAAGGTCAAAGTAAACATTTCTTGTTGTTGATATCCGTTTGTGTACTGTTAGGAAGGTCAAAGTAAACATTTCTTGTTGTTGATATCCGTTTGTGTACTGTTAGGAAGGTCAAAGTAAACATTTCTTGTTGTTGATACCCATTTGTGTACTGTTAGAAAGGTCAAAGTAAACATTTCTTGTTGTTGATACCTGTTTGTGTACTGTTAGGAAGATCAAAGTAAACATTTCATGTTGTTGATACCTGTTTGTGTACTGTTAGAATGGTCAAAGTTGGCTCATGGTGTGTCCAAAAAAATTTTTTTTTAGTTAAATTAAATGTCTATCCACTACAATATTTTCAATGTCGACATTTTGTCTTTTTGTAAATGCATTTTAATTTTATCGTTTTGATTCCTTTTAAATTAAGAATTATGTTATCTCTCTTTTAAATCAAAACAACTAATTTCAATTTGCGAACATTATCGAATGCGCCGAGCTAAATTGGTCGCGGCACCGAACATAGAATTTAGATGTGTCTAAGCTTCAGTTTCACACTGTTACATTTGCGAGGCAAGTCAAAGACTTATTGAAGACATAACCTAAATTAATTTTAGTTGAGGGTTTGCTTTAAGTCCCAGAAACATTTTAATCATTACAAAGCCAAGGGGTGTAATTCGGCATATAGGGCCTACCTGATAATCTGTGAGTCTTTCAGACAATCTGATCCAGTGGGCAGTGCATCTATCTGCGTGCAAATTAAACATTGTGACACCCTTTGCCATACATAACCTGAATTCACTTTGACCCCAACTTAGTTTTGCCCCCTTGCTGTCACATTGATACGGCGTGGGGTATGGGGGTAAAGCAGCTTTCGAGGGCTACTGAGCGAATGTGGTGGGGAGGGGGAATGTCGGAAGGGGGTCATTAATAAGCACTTCCCAACAAAATGTGTGATAATTTAAAATGCAGTTTAGCTGTTGGCACGTACCTAAATTTAGTTTTGAATTATTCTGTACTTAATAAAAGAGCAACAGAATGTAGGTGTCTCTTGACCTTGTTGTGTTGCTACAAATGCAATATTTTATTTAAACTCCTTCATTAAAGATTAATATTTAAAAATATATTTCCAAATAAAAAAATTACTATCACAAAAAGTACGTTTACTAGTTACCTTACTAAATATTTCCAAGTTTTACCAGCTGCAAAAAGTGAAAATATACTTTTTTGTAGATAAGGTCTAAATGAGAATAATTTAAATTGTTTATAAATGGCAAAAATTATACTAATAACTATATTTTAAAATCATGGTGACATAACACAATCAAAGCCTGCCCTATTTTAAAAGTTGATCTTATTTTGTATAGAAACAGAAAATCAAAATACATGTAGACCTATTGGCCTTTATAGCAGGCCTGCACAACATACGGCCCGCGGGCCGCATACGGTCCGCCAAGTAACGAATTTATTTTCTTAATACTTTTCCCGCTTTCCTATTTTCTTTCGACCAGTACAAGTTTTTCATAAAGTATAACGCTCCGCCTTACATTTTGGGTTGTGCAGGGCTGGTTTTTAGCGATGGAAAGTTAGTTTAATTCGGTATTGTTCAGGCCGTACATTTATGTATAATAATATATAATAAATTTTCAGCCCTAACCCTTTTACTTAATATTATAATTTGTTAAGGATATTTACGAAAAACGTTGTTTTTAGGAGTTGGTTAATTTTGTTTTTAAAAAGATCAATTAATTTTGGTATGCGAGTTTTATTATTCATTTCAGTATCTTGGTTTTATTTCGCATCTCGGTTAAGAGCTTTACCCAAATTTCAGAAAATGGCAGCGCTCATAAATAAAGCACTAAGGTCACAAGTTGTTTTATGGGTAAAATACTATTGCTTTAATTTCATTTTCTAAATATACATTTATTAGATTTGTTTTTTTAGGTCCACTTTATCCCGCTACCAATACTCAATACGTTGTTGACCGTATCTAAATCCAAACGAGGCTTTGTACCTGTACGAGTATGCTTAACTTACTATGATGACTATACTATACTCTATACTACTATTACACTATTACTATTACTATATGAATATCATATAATATGATACTAATAATCTACAATACTAGTTCTACCTAGCCAATGCCGAATCATGCCGAATAGGCAATGACTGAATGAAGTGAATGATTACTACTATATTAAATTATATTCAAATTCAGTATATTATTATTATGAATGAATCATAGTTGCATGCAGAGGCATAGCGAGAGTGTTAGTGTTTGTTTGACGCCCCCTTTTCTTTTATCAACTCTCAACCAACCCATTATTTTCATCAATAAAATAATAAATAATATCAAAACACATTTTAGCTCCCCTAACTATCTGCATCCAGGTGCATCTGTCCCCCTGCCCCTACGCCTCTGGTTGCATGAAAGTGAAATTAAAAAAATCCTTGCTAACTAAGGGTTTTGTTGCTCTTTCACGCCCTTACGAGGTTGAAACCCTTAGAAACCCCAGTAACATTGAATAGGAACTAGTGAGGCAAAATATTTTTCTGTCTTACTAATGACTAATGTCACTAATGTTGCTAGTAATGTTAACACCTAGCCTAGGCCTAATAAATAAAGAGCCCAGCTCTCTCAATCTCTGCTAGGCCTAGATAGACATGCAATGGAATAGCCCCCACTCTGTTCTTATACTATTACTATTATACTCTAGTATATGTAGTGTTGATATATAGAGAATGTATAAGTATGTTGTTCTCTTATTTTAATTTGGGAGGGGGAAGGGCAACGACCTAGAGTCATATCCATCCAATCACCAATCATATTATTATCATGCTTCTGGTCTGGGTGCTTCCTTTTCACAACCAGCCCTCTCCCTACTCAAAATGTTTTATATTAATAGTGCTGAGTGAAACAAAAAAGCTGTCAAGCAGCGAGCGTCATGCGTTACATTGAATTCCGGGTGAAAAGGATTAATTTTTTCGAAGGCGGCTTTTATATCAATTAATAAAGAGCCACGGATAGGATGTTGGACTGTCTGTATGCCTAGGCCTATTATTTAAAGGCTGGCAAGTAGGGCGTAGGACTGTCTGTAGGCCTATTGTTTAGAGGCCTGCAAAAATTATAGAAAACAAGAAGTTAACTTTTTTTGTAACTCTAGGACTCAACTGGTATTTTCTCAAAATACCCGGGCCCTGTGTAAAAAAGCTGACCTCAATTAATTGTTTTAAATATTTTCCTATTGTTTATGTCATTGTTGTAGGTACTTTTACAAAAATTTTAAATATTGTCTGATTGCCATAAAAGATATATTATATTATGTATTACGATACTCGCACATATCTTCTGCGCATATCGAAAAATGACACATTCACGTTTTTGGCCATTTGACATTTGTCTTTTTGATTATCTCATCTTATTGCGTTTTACATCCATATTAAATTATTATGTCATCGGTGAAGAAAAGCCCATATTTTACCAAACGCTGTGATATCATTTTTGCAGCATGGTGTTTTGTGACTGGCATAGTATTTACTCTTATGTATTGGTATATACTTAATAGCTTGTTGTTTTTAATATAAAATCGTACCACATAGCTGTTTATCGTGACACTACTTAATTCACAAATGGGAATAGTGACATTGCTCATCCTTGTATAATAAAATATTATCACTATATTAATAATATTAGAGTGTATATTTTATTATTTAAATACCCCTAAAGGCTTATAAGATGAGAACAGACATTTCATTTAGACTAGTGGTTCTCAAGTTTTTTTGGCCATACCCCTTAAAGCTCCGTGCCTAAGGATTATACTAATATTACTAAAAGACTAATAATAATACTATTCTATTACTACAACAGCATTTACACTTACAGTTTTGAGGCCCTAATTTAAGTTAACATTTTTAAAAAATTGTATGAGGCATTTTTAATTATACATTAAAGACAGCATATAAAAAAAATTAGACTCAAAATCATCATTGTAATTATTTTTGTATAGAAAAAACAATAGTATTAAAAAGAAAAAATAAATCAGGTAGATTCAGGAATATGATTAGATATTATATCTAGGTTTCTTTCAGATGCAAGAGGAGAAAAATTAAATTTTCTGTGAAAGAATTTTTTGGAATTCATTCCATCAACAAGGAGGCACGTTTGCACAGACAAAGTTTATGAAGGAGAGATTGTGGGATTGATCAACAAGACCAAGAAGTCTGTAGAGCCATCTACATAGGAAATGACAGGCAGAACATCCCCATTACCTTTTAAAATTTAATCATGTTACCCGGTACTGGTATGCTCATATTAGTATGCTGGGTGATATTAGCAGTTTTTATTTATAATCTCAAGCATTCAATTTTATTTTTAAAAATACTTCTACTTAATTTATATAAGTATAAGATTTGATTTAAAATTTAACTGAAGCATATAATTAATGAAAATACAATAAAAATGTAATTTTGTTTCCCTTTATAAATAATAACTTTTCCAAATTCTTTTAATCATGTTTTTTTTTTTTTTTAAACATACCCTCACGTAAAATTATTCAAAATACAAAGTCTTGATGCTATGTCAAGTTTTTATTGTTCATTTTGCTTTATATTGCACTGAGAATGTGTCCTGACAATTTGGTACCATGATCTTTTAAAATAAAAATTTGTTGGCAATGTAAGCGGAAATGGGGGAAAAATTATTATTTTTATTAAAAATATGTTTCAGTAAAAATTTTAAATCCCTTCATATATTTATTAAAGTTAACTTGAAGTATTTTCTAAAATAAAATTGAATGGAAGAGATTTTAAATAAAAGCTACTAATAAGAGACTACTTAACGATGAGAAGAATTCCACAGGGTTTTTCGATAGAACATTAAAATTGTATCTAAAGAAACATAGAAATAACATGATCTAATCATAAGCCTGAATCTATACAATTTCTTTTTAATTTATATTATTTAATTTTTTTATGTAGTAAAGCTCAGTTCTTTTTATTTGATCTGAAATGATATATGTCAATGCAAACTCTTTTCCATGTCCTAATAAAAGTATAATTACTTTGATGATGTTGAGTCTTGTTTATTTATTTTAAGTCTTTTATTTATAGGTAATTAAATACCTTTTTAAATTAAAAAATAATAACCTAAATTAGGCCTGTGAAAGTGTAGTTGTAGTAATAGAATATTATTAGTTTATTAGGCCTAGGCTTAGGCCTAAGCCTAAATAGACTATAATATAGATATCTTAATTTATCTATTTTATTTACTACTGATGTATTACTCTCAGTAGTATTAATTTCATAACAGTTTTAATTGCCTACCCACTCTATAAATTATAAAATAATATATCTAATTCTATACTATTATAAATAATTATGCACTACTTATTATATTATTTATGTGGTCAATGGTGTATAAATTATAAAACATGGTTCCTTTGAATTAATAATAGTAAAAGCGGTTGCTTTTTATTGTGTTATTATTCCTTTAATTATAACTAATAAATACAGGTAAAAACTAGGCCTATGCATATATATGTTTTGATTTTATATTTAAAAAATACTTAGCTATTAAGAACATACAGAAATAACTTGGTGCCTGTCACAAAATCCACCTTGTCTCAAAAATGGTATCAGCATGCTTGAAAAAATATGCTCTCTTCGTCACTGATGACAAAGTAATTTATTCTTAAAAAATTGGTGAAAACTGCAAAATAATGAGATCGCTGCCAAGCTAAATGTTATATTGCCACAAATGTTTTTGTGTCATTTTTTTGACATGCACAGAATGTGTGCATGAATGAGTATAAAAGTATCTAATCGTATCACACTGACTCTGTTTGTTGAGCAACCCCCTGCACAGTTGAAGGTAGTTTTTTTCTATTTCTGGAAATTGTGCATGGAGGAGGATATTTATAGACTGTCCGTTAATTACGTCAACAAAATATGGGGAAAGGGCATTTAGAAAAGCCTGACAACTGTTGACTAGGGGGAGTCAAAATAAATTGATGTCAACAGTTCTATTTTTCTTTGATATAGAAAACAATTAAAACCATAAATATGCTGAGATATTTTGTTGCAGATTATTGGTGTTTTGATGGCTATACTAAAAAAATATCTATAATTTCAAATGGACTGAACAGTACCAATGATTCTTTAAGGGGCTCGAGAAATTACCACCTGCTCCTCAACAACAAAACATCACCTATTCAAATGGCTGCCAAAAGATAGAAAGAGATGATGGCCATTGGTTCTGTTAACTTTCGACAAGTGTTTGTACCAGCATGTACCATTAATCATGATTCACCATAAACTTAATGTAAAGTAATATTTCCCATAAATGACATCACACTTATAGGGTAGGAGGGAGGGCTGATGAATTTATGAGGTTGTTCATATTGTATGACAATCTCAATCAGGGAGGAGGGGGTGAAAAATCTGCCAAAATATCATGACATCATCTGTGAATGGTTAAAATTGTATGGAAATCTCAATCAGGGTGGAGGGGGTGAAAAATCAGCCAAAATATCATGACATCATTTGTGAATGGCCGTAAGACACTGTTTGGCTGGCAATAACTTTACTTCAAAAATATTCTTTTCATTCAGGGTACGGCACGACATGTGTTGGCTACACAAGCTATTGATTCAGGTCAGCCTGGAAGGCAGCCAAGTAGAGGATTTCCAACGTCAAAGCACTGGCTTCTAAAATGGAGGCTTCTCAGAAAGAAGAAAGTTCTCAAAGTTAGTAAATGTCTATTATTATTAATATGAGGCCATTAAATTTTTTGTTAAAGTTCATTTTAAAAATGTCAAACAATCTCATCTTTGAATTGTCTTTAGATCGACCTCCCCAAGTTTATTGAACTTAAAAGTGAGAAAAAAAGGCAAGAGGATAAAACATCAGATGAGCTTCGTATGGATATGAAAAAAGAAGGGAGGTTACCACCCAGAACATTTCAAGAACTTCCTTTAAACATTTCCTGCACACGTGAGTGAATTTAACTATTGCAGTCAGAAGAGGTTTTATATCAGAGAAAATGTTACGATTGCCCTGTGCTCAAATATGGCTGTTTTGTACGTTTTTTACATCAAAGAATCCGATTTGGTTTGTAGAACACATTACACATTGAACAGCTGAGAGACATAAATGAAAATATTTAGATTTCCACCTATGAAAGAATGTGTTGAATTATTATACAAATTGTCATTTACTGCAATACAACAATAAAATTATGGTTGTAAAAAAAAAAGTAAAATAAGGGAATGTGTGTTGACACTGACAGTATATTAATCATTAAATCTCACAATCGCACTTCCATGTTATCATAATTGACTTGTCTCACATCTGTATGAATTTTTTACACAGTTCCATTTTAAAAAAGATGAACTTCTAATCAATGTATTGAATTGCAAAGAGAACTGAAGGACTCTGAAAATAAACTTGTAATTTATTACATGAAGTAAAATGTAAATGAAGAAATGTTAAAAATATATAAACATTTATACCTTAACTTAAAAACTAGTGTCTTACCTGTTCTTATAATCCCTTTCCTCGCATTGCCTGAAACGCCACATCGAACCCCTTGTGGGTGCGAGCATCCTCAGTTCTGAAACCCTGGATGGGTTTTAGTTGAACAGCTGCATCTTAAATCTGTGTGAAATCATGCTTGATGTATTACAACCTGTACTTTCTATTTACTCAAGTCTAAGATATTTTTTTTCACAACTTCAACACTACTTGGCCAGCTTCAAAACTTATATTGTCATCGGCATGTTTACTTTTTAAACAGCCAATCGTTTAAACCTAGTTTTTCAAATGGCAAGGTTTTTTTTTAAAGACATAAAATGAAAAGCTGCTGCAGCGGTGTAACGTGTAAAACTCCATAAAATGTTAAGTCAAGTGGCTGAGCTGCACCATGTTCAAGAATGCAATTAAGTTGGTTTATATTCCATCCATCCCTGTGGCGCTACAGCCCATGTAGGTCTTTTGCCTGCCTCACCACTTCCTTCCACTCAGACCTAACTAATGATTTTCTTTTCCATGCTTGGACTTTCATCTGCTGTAGATCTTTTTCCACATCATCTATCCACCTAAGCCTAGGTCTGCCTTTGAGCCTTTTTCCTCTGGGGTATTGGTGATGCACCCTCTTCGTTCCTCTGTCATTTGGCATTCTCTTTAGGTGTCCTGCCCAGTGTAGCCTGCCTCTTTTTATTTCTGCTACTATCGTGGGATCCTGATATAGACTGTATAATTCATGGTTGGTTCGTATTCTCCATCCATATTCATCCTTCGTTGGCCCATATATTTTCCTGAGAACTTTCCTCTCCCATGTGTTTAATAGGTTTTCTGCTGTTTTTGTTAGGGTCCAAGTTTCACTTGCATATGTTAAAACTGGTCTGATCACAGTTTTATAAATAGTTTTCTTGGTTTCTCTTGTAATGTTTTTACTTTTGAGTATTTTCTGACTACTGAAGTTTGCCCTGTTTCCGGCTGATATTCTTTCTTTTATTTCTGTTAGTAATTCATTTCTTTCATTTAACAAGGATCCTAGGTATTTGAATTGATTTACTTTTTCAAAAGTTTGGTTTCTAATTTTAATTGCTTCATCTGTTTGTTCCTCTCTTATCATGGTCATGTATTTTGTTTTTTGGTTGTTAACTTCCAGCCCTGCTTGTAAAGATGCGTCTTCTAATTCAATATAGGATTTTGATAGTCTTTAATACTTTTCCGTAGAAGTGCTATGTCATCAGCATATGCAAGATACTGAAGTGGTTGGTTGTAGAGTGTGCCCGTTGTTTGTGGGTCTTGAGTTTCCCTCAGAAAGTATCCTGTTATCGTTCTTCGAGTGTCAATGTGTATGTTTCTAATAACTCTCTCTAATGTTAGGTTGAAAAGCACACAAGATAGTGAGTGTTCTGTCCTAGGCCTTGTCTAATATGAAATTCCCTTGAATATTCTCCTTGAGTCTAGATTTTGCTTTTTGAGTTGTTCAGTGTTACATGTATTAGTCTTGTCAGTTTGTTGGGTATCCTAAACTCCTGCAGAGTCTCATATAGATAGTTTCTTTTGATGCTGTCATAGACCATTTTATAGTCCACATAGAGTTGATGTATTGGTATATTATATTCATAACATTTCTCTAATAGGGATGTGATGGTGCCTCCATATTTAATCAGTTCTGCTGTGATTAGGTCTCGTCCGGGGGGCTTTGTGATTTTTCATATAATAAATTACCTCTTTGGTTTCTTCTAGTGTTGGGCATTGTGTAAAAGGGTCTGGTCCTCCCTGTGGGAGTTGATAATCTTCTTCTTGTCTATTGTCTGCATTCAGTATGTCCTCAAAGTATATAGCCCACCTCTCCAGTACTTTACTATTTTCCATGATTAATTCTCCATTGTTGCTCTCACACATTTGCAGTCTTGCTTGGTATCCATTCTTTTCATCTTTTATCTTCATGTATATTCCTCTTATATTTCCCTCTCTTGATAAATCTTCTATTTCCTTTAGTTTATCCTTTTCCCATTCCCTCTTTTTCTTCCTACACATTTTTGTTGCTTTCCTTCTGGCTTCCTTGTATGCTTGTGTTGTCTTTCTGGTTTCTCTTTGTAACATGATCATTCGTGCTTTGTTTCTTTCTTCCACAGTCTCTCTGCATTCATTGTCGTACCAGCCTACTCGAGTGTTGGCTTGCTGAAATCCCACTACTTTTTCTGCTGATCTTTTGATGGCATTTTTTATCCTATCCCACTGATCATTTCTGTAGATGGTCTGAGTCTGCATCTGCTCCTCTAAGGCTTCTCACATAACTTGGTTTATATATCTATTTGAAATAGTTTTGCTAGTCACTTAGACCGCTACTTAAAAATCTGTATTTCCTCTGCTGCAGGTGGAATCATAGACCCTTTCAAACCTCCTCAGGGTGATGGTAAAAGCTCATCTTTGTTAACCGGAGTGAGTCACATTTCTTAAAGCACACACTACCTATGATAGAATTATGAAAGTTACTTGTAATTAACATTTGGAATTGTTGAGTCAGTAGCTGAGAAACAAATTTTTAATGATTATAGTATAATATATACATTCTTAATTTTCTAATTGAATTGAACAATTCTTTTGTATATCTAATTGTATCCCTTATCTTTACTTTAGTGATGTATATTTGAACAAAATTTTGTTCCTTTTTTTTTAAACTTAGAGATTTTATCTAGATCCTTTCCATGGCTGGTTGGAGCTAATATAATTTTACTTCTTCTCTTGTTAGTATGTTCAATTTAAATAAATCACTTTTAACATTGTTAAACTGATTGTTTCAGAATCTGTCTGATAGTTTTAATCGTATGCTGAAAGGCCCAAAGTCAATTAAACACATACGTAAATTAAAAAAGTATGAAGATTACGTGGAGTCTGATTTTGCTCAAGAGGCCCAGAAAATTGTATTTGAAGCCCAGCAGCTGCTACAGGAGTAAGTTAGAGGCTTATTAGTTTTCCTTTTTAAAACTAAAATATTTGTTTGTTTTTTTTAAGATAAGATTTTGTGTGTGTGTGTGTGTGTTGTTATATCTTTAGAAATAAATGAGCACCATGGTGAAAAATACTCCTTTGGAGCTGATACATATATTTGCCCTTTATGTTTCAAGTATGTGATGATGAAGGGCTAAATATTCATGCCCATCTACTCAAACATTTGTTTTACCTGGTCTACCATTACAATTTATGTGCCTCGTCTTCCCAGACAATTTATGTGCCTTGTCTACTCAGACAATTTATGTACCTGATCTATCCAGACATTGGTTGTGACTAATGTGCTCATGTATATCATTCATGCCATATTCTCTACCAATTCAAACAGTCATCGTCATCAGAAACATTATTAAAAACAAGAATGAAATAACTGTGTTTATTTTCAGTATCTTCAAAAATCAAGAAAGACTGCATGAGCTGGTAACTGAGAAAGCCTTCCCGGTAATATCTTAAATTTATTAACACTGTTTTTACTAAAACAAATTTGTTTAGAACTCGTATAATAGAAGCTCTTAACAAATAAAAGTAAATGATTTGCATACATTAAGTCCTGTTACATACTGAACTGATACTTTGCTCTTCAGACCACCAAAGCAATGCTACACAAAGCATCTCATTCCAACAATTAACATTCTCAAACACATTTTCCACAACAGTTTGTAAAAATTTGAATGGATTGAGTTTTAGCCCGCCTAGTACTGACCTACATTTGTTGCTATGTACCCCGAATATTATTTTGCGAATTATTCCCTGTGGCCCAGACATTATTTTGGAATGAGCCAAAATTTGATAGGTTTGCAAATGACTGTAAATTTTTTGTTTTAAACAATTGTTAATAACATGTATAGAATTATCTGTTCAGAAATGGATAAGGGTGTTGAAAATACTAATGTGTTTTGTTCAAACTTTTCATAGGCAATGGCTTACTAGGGGATTGTGTCGTCAGCACAGTGCCAAACAACTTTTACTCCAGTCGATCTTCATCTAAATCAATATCTGCGTTGGCACTAGGTCTAAAATCTGTCAAACCTACGTAAATTTTGAGCTATTGTAGGCCTACTTCCTTCATTAGCAATGTCATCCCCCTCTTCCTCATACGCATCAGAATCATCTAATCCCAATCAAAGCTCTAGAATAGTTTCAGAACAAAAGGTTTCATCAAGTGGGCGTTAGTCGTCATCAACAATAGCGCTTGGTGCTTGGTAGCGCCATGGAAACAACAAATTCAGATCCGCACAAAAAACTCATTAATTGGTCGATTTACTTAATTTAAAAGGCAAAATAAAATATTTATTTATTTATTTATTTAGGCATTTTTATATAGCGCTTATCATAAAGCTCTAAGCGCTTTACAATTATTAAAACATGTAAACTAAGTAAATACAAATGAGACACTAGGATATTAACAACTATTCTATAGAAACAATGAAAATGGCTATAAAACGAGGACACTTTGACACTTCAGGATCAACCCGAAATAGAAAATGAGGTAGGGCAAGGAGGGTGCATCACAGGTCATAGGCGGACCTAAACAGATGAGTTTTAAGGGACTTTTTGAAAATGGACGAGGTTTCACTATGATATATATGGAAGGGGAGCTGGTTCCAGAACATGGGCCCATGGAAGCAGAAGGAGCGTTCACCGATAAAATAAAATATGACTATTCCCCTAATGAATAAACATTCTACCCGAGACTTTGGTGAAAGGTTTTATCCTCGTTTTTGTGTTTATATTAGATACCCCTCTATGTGGCAAATAGATGCGCTTGGGCCACAGGGAAAAATAATGGGCTGGTGAAAAAAGACAAACTTGGGTTACAGGGAAAAAAAGTAGGTCACTGCAAAAAGATGCGCCCGGTGCTGTAAGGGTTCGGTACCGGTACTGCTAGTAAATATATGTGAAATCATGTTGCTTTCTCTAAATGATAGTACATAGATTTATTGAAAATATTCCTCACCATTGTATGAAAAGAAGCCCCCAAATCCTTCCTTGTTGATCTGATGATGAACTTTTATCTGTTCTTGGTGAATATCAATTTTCTCCAATGTAATTTAAGTTGGGTACAGAATAACAAGAGCTGCACAGCTCAGTAACATCAATTCTTTTAGATTATAAGCAGGGTCAAGATTTTACAAGGACATTGACATAGGGCATGTTATTCATTTAGTAACAGTGCTGCAATAAGCATATATTATAAATGATAACATAATATAAGCTTGTGTCTCAATTGCTCTCCTTATCCACAGAGTGCTTGAAATTTTATTGAGTCCTGATTCACAACCCTGACTAATGTTCATGTCTGTCCAATTTGAGTTGTTTTTTTTTCTTACAAATTATTTGAAAAAAAGCTTTGGAATTTCTTTCCAGGAAATGGTCCATGGGCTAGAGAACAAAACTATGCATTGGTCGATTGTTGAAACAGTTGAGCCAACAAAAGTGGTTCATATTCGCACAGAAGAAATGATCGCTGCTGAAAATCTCTTTGCACAAATCACCATCCGCATGCACACCAAACAGGTCAGATGGACAAAATATCTACTGATATATATGTCTGAGAACAAAAGTATTTGAAGCACAATTAGCATTTAAAGGACACAGTTTATTTATCCCTATGTTTAAAAAAAATGCAGAAAAATGCTGTGAGACCATAAATAAATTAAGAAAAGGATACATCTCACCCTATTCATCACAGAAACCTAATATCAGCTTGATCAAGGTGAATTCTTTCCTTAATGACTTAATGATAAAGTTCGGGACCGAAATATGTACAAACTATTTTGTTCCCCAGTCGTTCAGAATTGACCAGCATGCTCCCCCAACTGTTACAAAATCTAAATGTCAATAGTTATTAAGTCATTATTTCCACAAAGGTAGCAATGTGTATGGTTTGTGACTGCTGATTTTCACAGTAGAGAAATACTTCAGATGTCCTGTGTTTAAATTGTTCTGCTTGTAAAATAAGGGTCTTGGTTAGAAGATTTATTTATGTAGGTTTTAAACTGAATATGTACAATGTAATTTTTTTTAAAAACATTTCCATTTATTGGGATCAATAAAAGAATGTTACATCTTAATGTGATTTTCTCCATTTCCAGATCTTGGCTATATACGATCGGTTTGGACGATTGATGTATGGAGATCCCATCACCCCCAAGTCCGTCATAGAATATGTTGTATTGGAAAAGTGGATATCCGATACATACGGGCGGTGGCGCATACACGGCAAGGTTGTTCCAGATTCTGTTGGACCTCGTGACAATCTCATCAAGACTTACAAGGTGCCGAAATTTGAACCTTTACCCCCCGTGGAGGTGGCCAGCGACAAAGATAGCGAAAAAAAACACGCTGAAGATGACTTTGATAAAGACGAAAAGAAAACCAAAGCACCAGAGCTCGTTACAGCGTGATGATGAATTTAAACGTGCGTGCCTTTTAGTAGGTGATAGCATTCAATTAGAGCAAACAAAATTTCAAATCAAATACTGGGACTCTTTACTGTGTGGGAAATTCTTATGGGGGGGGGGGGGTCTTACGTTTATGAAGATATAACAAGCCAATTATTTTCTTGTTATCTGCCACTAGGAGCTATCCATTACGATGTTCTTGGTGGTGACGTTCTCGAATCATTTAACTTCTGTTAATGCACAACTTGAAAAATGTATTTTATTACCTTTCATTGTTTCAAGGCCAAAACTAGGTGGGATGGAGTCCGGTAATTCTGATTTAGTGACAATTGATTTTAAAATTATTGAATTAGACACGCTGGAGGATGCAATGAGACATCCTTGGCTTAGTGCAAGAAATATTTTGGGCATAGTGCAAAAAACCATTTCTCAGTAGTTATTATGAACAGACCCAGCCATTGATAAAAGGATGGAATAACTTATTTGAAGCCTGGTTTCCCTTTCCAATTGGTTGTAGAATATTTCTTGTGGACACAATGGTCAAGAGAATAGAATTAAATATGTTTTTTCAAGTCATTGTCTTTTTATTTGTATTCCTGTGGTGGTCCATGTCATATGTTGTCTGCATTGTTGTAATATCAAAGGAGGATTATTTCTTCCAATGATGTTATCCTGATATGTGATGTTATCCTGTTATGTGATGTTATCCTGTTAGGTGATGTTATGTTATCCTGTTATGTGATGTTATCCTGTTATGTGATGTTATCCTGTTGTTATGTTATCCTGTTATGTGATGTTATCCTGTTATGTGATGTTATCCTGTTATGTTATGTTATCCTGTTATGTGATGTTATCCTGTTATGTGATGTTATCCTGTTATGTGATGCTATCCTTTTATGTTGGCCCAAGGAGAAATGACAGCTGAAATAAGATTGAGATGGGGATGAAATATAGGGCAATAATTTTGAGTCTACAGGAACTCGAGGGACTTTAATCATAGTTATAATGATAACAAGATAGTTAAGTAGTTGTGACGCATTATGATTGTCAACTCCTTGCTCTACTGGATTGGTTAATTCGTCAAGTTCTTTCACATGTTGAAATACGCCCTACTAATATTGAATAAACTCAGTCCTTTAACATAAGAAATGTAACTTAAATATCTTATTATTAACACATGCATACAGCCCAGCTGCTATGAGACAGAAATTAAACACATCCTACTTCTACAAAGTTCCATTCACGACTGCCTCAGGACTGAAACTTACGTCACTCAGTCAAACGGGGCCGGGTGGGGGGGGGGGAGGAGGAGAGCTTTCACTAAGGGGGGGGGAGGAGGAGGGGAACTGCCTCAGGACTGAAACTTACGTCACTCAGTCAAACGGGGCCGGGTGGGGGGGGGGGGAGGAGGAGAGCGTTCACTAAGGGGGGGGGGGGGGGAGGGGGTCGTTCACTAACCTATAAAACTCTATCACACACCACCACGCGTAATAGAAACATAATATCCAGTCGTAACAATTATCAATGAACTCCCATACTTGACGTAGATTATTAAAAAGAAAAACAATTGGAAGTTATAGAAGCTAAAAAACAAGATGGGTTGCATTGACCATGTCTTGAGAATCATTGCAAACTTTGTTTAACAACTTGTCCTCAACAAATTCCCTAGTGTATTTACGGAAACAAAGTCCCTACTGTAATCTCTGTGAAATATTCCCTACTCCAATTACTGTAACAAATTGTAACTGTAAAAAAATTATCTCTTTGATGAAGGGGGAGACAAGAGGATACGAAAGAAGAAAAAAAGGGCTAAACAATAGCAAAATAATCCGAATTAGACTGTTAGAACTTAGTTATTCAAATATTTTTTTTTACATTCATTTAGTAGGTAGGCCTATGCCTGTATTTAATTTATTATGGTTTAGATGATTGGGCTTATGTCTAACTTTCATTTAATTAAGCATTTATTATAAACAGAGTTTGGCGAAACATTCAGAAATTTAGGGAAAATAAATGAAGGACTGCGTTCCAGCCTGCTGAGTGAAGAAATTTAAGGGTAGCCTTTAAGATTTTTTTTTTTTTGCCCGTAGACGACATATACAAAGATGCATGAATGACTGATGATAAATAAAGTGAGTGATACCTAAAATTTCCTTAGAGATTTCTTCCAGCATTAAAAAGTAAACTAATAATGAAGAAAAGCGACGGATGCCGATATCATATAATTTTATAAAAATTATATATTTTTATATATTTTTAGTAAAAGGCAGCTACAGATAGAACTATAGAACAGTATTTATTTTTGTTGATCGATTTCTCAGATAAAAGTTTATGCAAAATTTTTACTTTATAAGTACATTAATATTTTCAGAGGCAATTCAAAGTAATATCAATATATGTAGATGGTAGGCAAGGCAATAGTGTGGTGTAGAACAGGCTACTTTTCGGTGATTTGTGTCGTTAATTTTCGTTTCTTTGTGCATAATGCACGATACCGTAAAATCGTTGCCGTCATAGCCTGCGAGAGTTCAACGAGATAAAGATATCAACCTTCCATACTTCTTCGACTGTTAGGAGCGTGTTAGCCGAAAAATATAGCCCAGTAAAATAACAACAGGTAGAAACAACTTTGTTTTGAGTTTATATTGAGTTCGTAAATCAGAGAACATAATATTTTATAGTTACTTTTTGTACTGAACCAAGTTATTATAGGGACGTGACAAATACGCCTCTTCCTTCTTTTGTTGTTGGGCTTGAATCCACCCGCTTTGTCGCTGCTTCAGCGTTCTTGATCTGGGTACATTTAAAGACGCCCGTATGACCTAATTTTCCTACATTTTTAGAGCTCAAATGTATTATTCGTGATTATAATCTGAATATTATTTAAAAACTTTCCGGCGCTATTTAAAATGATCGTACCAAGAAAAAGCACTTAACATCGATAACAATCATGTGCTTGGCCTCGAGTGTGCATTTACACAAATTGCAAATGGCGTCGTGGCTAACAATTTTATCAGGTTGACAAAAAAGCTGCTAGTCCTGCTGATTAGTCAACACGTCATTACTAATCTTGATACTTTGGTAAATAATACCCCCAAAACTATTAAAATTTACAGTTGTTAAAGTCTTATAAGTCTAGGACTTCTAGTAAAGAAAGTTAATCATTAATCTGACACTGGAGTGTCCCCTGCCCCTATGATTACTATGAATCTTGAAAAAATCCACTTTGAAGTGAATTTTAACAAATTATTCTTTTATTGATAAGATCCTATAGGTTGAAATGTTTTTTATTACATTGTACAAAAAGGCCTATTCATTTCAGCACATAGGCATATATAATTAAAGTAATCCAAATCAAAGGTTTTTAAATGAGGATGAAGTTAAAAAGTGGCACCTTTAACAATAGGGATAACTATACTTGTCCACGCACCGTTCTGCACATGTCGAAAAAACGTGTTCTGCAGTATGGCACACAGCTACATGGTATCTTTGGAAAATTGCATACTACGTCACCTTTGTTTATTAAATAATTGCTTTCCTCATCACTGATTGATGTATCAGTTTTTGTGTTCCGGTCATATGTTGATTTATGCTACGATATTTTTTGTGCATCATAGGCAGTATTATTATAATGACTCAGTTAGTATATAAATCGCATAGATACTTTTTTACTAGTAAAGCCACCGAAATAAGGTTTAGTGTTCCCTAATCTACATTCATTGTAAGAGTTTTTTCATTTTTTTAGTTATTATTGTTGAGCTCTCGATTAAAAAGTTATGCATCCCGCGAAGAAGTGGGGGGTATGAAATTATCATTTTTTTATTTTGATCGAGAAGCCGGAAATGGCTGCTATCGCTGTGATTTGTTAATGTTAAATCCTTAAACATCTAAATAATTATAAGACGTTTAAAATGAATCATTTTAAGAAAAGATTATAACCAAACTTGAAAAGTTTATGTATTAACCATGGGTTGGTTTTAAGTTTTATTTATTACGTTAAAAATTGTGTACGGTACCGGTACACAGTTTATCGTTTTTTCATTATTGAATCAATATTTAATAGTTTTACAATAGTATTATCGATAATAATAATCGTTTTTCTCTTATTATTTCAGAGAATATTACTAAAATTAGGCCTACTTATCATCTGTTATAATTATAAACAACTGTTATTATTTTATAATTCTGTAATAGTCTATTTAGGCCTAAGCTTACATTTTCTTAATCTAATTGTATTACAAGCCTATACTTTATATAACAGTTTATTAAAATACATCAAATTAATAAACAAGACTCAAACAACATCATCATAGCAATTATATTTTTATCAGGACATAGAAAAGCAGTACATAGACAATTATTTAGTATATCAAAAACATTTTTTAGTGAATTAGTCTCATAATTATCATATTATCATCATGGATGATTTTATTTGAGTAATTTTTATTTATAATTACATGCATTCAATTTATAAATAAAAAAGACTACTTACCTTTTTATAAATATAATAATTGATTTAAAATTTAGCACAAGCATAATAAAATTAGTTAAAATTTAATAAATGTGTTTTTTTTTGTTTTGTTTTTTCCTGTATAAATATTTTTCCAATTTTTCTGTTCCCTTTTTTCTGAACATACCCACAAATAAATTTATAAATAAACTAGCCTTAATGTTATATAAAAGTTTTGTTGTTTATTGTACTGTATATTGCATTGAGAATGTCTCATGAAAATTTGGTAGCATTATCTTTTAGAATCAAAAAGTTTTGGGTAAAATAAGGCAGAAGTTTTGAAAGTGGGTCACACATTTGGTAGCAAACCTTATTTTGGTTGCTTAACTAGTAAAAAAGTATTTATGAAATTTATATACTAACTGAGTCATTATAATAATGCTGTCTGGAGTACACAAAAAATCTAGTGGCATAAATCGCTATATCACCGAAACACAAAAACTGATATGTCACTGATGATCAAAGCATTATTTAATAAACAAAGGTTATGTAGTATGCAATTTTCCAAAGATACGTGTAGCCGTACGCCATATTGTAGAACACGTTTTTTCGACATTTTAGGACATGCGCAGAACGGTGCGTGAACAAGTATTGTTATCCCTACTCAATTAACATAAATGCAAAGCACAGAAATCAATTATTTAACCCCTAAGACAGTATCCAAATTTCTCCAGTTTAAAAAGGCCCAAAATTTTGATGTCATTTTACCTAATGAAACTAAGTCCAAGTATTTCAGTAAAAAAAAAAAAAATTCAAAATAATGTTTTTAATATTATTTAGACCAAATTTCAAATTTAAAAATAAAATAAACTTTTTAGCTTTAGTTTAGTACTTTTTGAGTTATGAATTTTTAAAGTTCGAGTTTTTTTTTTTTTTACTACGACGAAACCTCCACATCTTGTGACCTCATTCAGCTGATCGCGTTGTGTGCAATGACTATATAGTTTATATAAGACACCCCTTTAATTACTAAACTACTGATTAAGGACTGCTTATTTCGAACTTTCAACTTTGGCACATGACCAATTAATTAAAGCCTTCCCAGACAAATGGTTTGAAATTCTAATAGTTTTTGCACCAAAGTTTTTTGAATAAACTCTGAGATAGTACTATGGTATAGCCATTATGCAAGTAACTGTGAATGGCTGCCCATGGCCATGACATTTAGATCGAATTATTGGCAAATTATGATTATTTATAATATAATTTATAATATTGACTCAACCGGGTTTTTTAACTTAAAATTAAAATACTATTCTTTAAAGAACATTTAAGTTCATCCTAAAACATTAGTTATCAAACATATTGGTGAAAAATAAAGTATCAACATCTTTCTACGCCCCTGCCATGTCGAAATTAGGCTGAACGATCTTATGGTAATGCAGGTTACTTGGACAAGCGTTGCAAACGTTGGAAAACGTTGTCAGAATTTAATATAAAAGACATGAGCTTTAAATTTCTTCAAACATTTTTGAGGGAAAGATGCCTTTTATACACCTATGAATTTCTAAAACTAAGGTTGAACAAACAAGGCACAACAGTATGTTGGAATGTAGGTCAAGTTATCCCCTATTGTGAACATGTGGAAGGATACCACAATTTTATAACAAAATAGTCATTTTATTAATGGAAAAGCACCAACCCCCAAAAATTAAAAACTTTTTCTGCACCGATGCCCATTTCTCATACACATTTTTTAGTAGGTAGTCTCCATTCCTTTACCAAAGTACCTAATGAAACATATCTAAAAAAAATTTAAAGTGAACATTTTTTCAAAGAAATCCTTTTGTTCCATGAGGATTTAATTTTAGTATTTTTTATACCATTAGGTCCTATTTATTATAATAATTGTATTCACTATATGAAAGATTTAACAAACCATTTTGAGTTTAAATAGGCTATGATTTTCTCGCTTTCAATTTGGGGTAACATCTGCATAAAAAATATATTTATAAATAACAATTTGGTTGTAAGATATGCAGAGTAGCATATAAATATTACATTTAAAATGTGAGAAGAGGCTTCTTCAATTTGTGGGGTAAGCTGGAAACTTTGGGACATAGTGTTTTTCTTAAAATGATTTTGCTACATTGGCAGTCACCGCTGCGTCATAATTGTGGGAAAAGCCCCACAGTCATGGGTTGCAAAGCTCGTGACATCATCTGCATGTAGTGAGCAGATGTAGGCTGTATTTATAAAAAAAAAATATTTCAAGCAATGAAATCATGATTATCAATTTAAGAAAGAAAAAGTGTTAGTGGCTACTATTGAGTGCGGTACTAAGGTTGCCACTGCCCACATTGATGTATATGTGTGCCAATTCTCATTGATATAGGACTTTTCCAATGAGTGCGGTACTAATGTTGCCACTGCCCACAAAAAAAGTTCAAAATCCTAAATTGTCCCCGTCCAAGTGGAGCATTTAAAAAGGTGTTTGGATTACTTAATGAAAAAAGAAACAAAAAAAGAATAGCCTACATTTAGTCTTAAAATAAAATAGGTAATTATTGAAAAAATTCACACTTTTTAATTGCCTTTTTCAACTTTTGGTGACACTTTTTTATGGTCAGGGTTCTAAACCGTTTTTGTTCATAGGACCTGTTTGTCAAAAGTAATATGACCTGTTCTTAGAATAAGTTTTTAAAACCTAAAAATATTTCCCTATGACTCGAAAAGTGCAAGAAAAAGAATCTTTAAAGTGTCAAACTTTAAACTGACAAGCATTATCATTTATGATTCATTTACTAACAGCACATTCAGTTTTGACACATTAAGGTACCAGGTACATAACCTTATTTGATAACCACAAGCATGCCTAACTAGCATTTGAATATTTCAGGTATATGAGTCAAAAGGCAGAAAAACCAACACTATCAGGCACCCGTCTGAAGACCCGAAAAAGGGGTACGCTTTTTAGATTTAAGAGTAAATTAAAGGGACTTACATTTTCAATTCTAAATTTAGTTATGTTTTAAATTGATCAATTGATATCACATTTGGTTGTTCAGTTGGATTTTAAATAACAAAAGTATATTATTTATGCATCTCAGGTAACAATGATTAATTTTTTTTACAGATGAAAAAGAAAAGTACGACCCAACCGCTTTTCGAGATTCCATCATTGCAGGGCTAAGTGAATGTGGGGGAGATTTAGACCAGGTGTCTCGTTATCTGGACAGGGAAGGATCCAAACTCAACTACAGGAGATATGCAGAGGTCCTCTTCGACATTTTATTTGCTGGAGGGATTCTTGGTAAAAAAAGTTTGTTTGTGTAGGCCTTAAAAAATTGCTTGACAGCAGTTTGTCTGGAGTCCCTCAGTATGGCGCCCCAACCCCACACACTAACAATCTTTTAATGCTGCTGAGTGAATTGCATATTGTGAATACAGTTATGATTTGAAAGATGTACTTTCATCCTAAGCCAAAAGATTGTGAATTAAAATAGTTTTCGAATTCAAAATAAAATCAAGACATTGGTCAAATTTCTTGGTGTAATGGTTGGAATTTTCCTTACATTTTTTAAAACCAACAGATCAAATACTCTTTAACTTGGTAAAAATTTATAAAATTATATATATATACAGTCAAATAGGACAGGTTTTTTTATACTTGATGGTATTAACTATGTCCTACAATCATTATTACTTTTATGTTGTGAAAATATAGCCTATGTTGTAAATTTGATCAGACTAGTAGAATTAAATAATATTCCTGAATTATTTTTTTTTTGCAGCCCCTGGAGGTTTTATAGTAGAGAGTGTTGACTCTGGCAAGCCCGTCAGGTCAGATATTTGTGTGTTCAGGTGGGATGGAGAACTGGGCCAACTACGTAATTTCTATTCGGTAAGATTGATTCGACAAGTCCATTTAAATTTGTAATTAACATTAGGTAAATTCTTAACAGGCAAATCATTTTTCTTTCCAATCTAGTAGTTCTGTATTGAATATAACTATTGTAGTTTCTATATTTCTATAGTTTTTAATATTGTTCTCTTGCAAAGAATCCATGCAAAAAAAAAAATAATTATTAATTGAAATCTTTTTTCCAGGTGTTTTACAAACTCATCCGAAGGTACAAGTATCTGGAAAAAGCATTTGAGGATGACCTGAAAAAGGTAATTATACATATTTGTGAAAAGTTAGTTGCTATTTCACTTTTTAAAAAAAGATTAAGGTTTGGACATTTAAATTGCAGTACTATTTTACTATTTCCTTTGTTCCTTAGATCCTGATGTTTCAGAAAGGCTTTTCAGTTGATGAAAGGGAGAAACTGGCTAAAATAACAGGCATAATTTTGGCCAATGGTCTCTGCACGCCTCGCATCCTGCTCAGTTTGTTTGAGGACCATCTTGTGAAGGAAGGTGAGCTTTTTTGTTTTTTATTAAGTCTTAATGTTTAGAATTCTGGTTGCAGCTCATTTTGACTCTTAGATTTATATCCTTGGTGTAAAATAAGAAATAACTAATAAATTAAAATTTTTATAAATTAGTTTTTGTTTTCTATGTAGGAATCTCACTGGAATTTGCTGCCACAATGTTTTCTACTTGGCTAAAGGAGAAAGACATCAATGCCATCTGTGCAGCTCTGAAAAAACAGCAGGTTGACACTAGGCTAATGGTAAATATCATTTTGCAGTAATAATAAAGGATCATTAGAGAGGTTTCTTATTGTAGTCCATTTTCCTAAATAAAAGTGTATGCAAAATAATTCTATAATTTGAATTGTCTCTTTTAGGAAATGTTTCCCCTTAACAAGCGGAACCAGGAGAACTTCGCTTCCTTCTTTAGGGAACGCGGCCTTGGAGCTATTGCAGACATGCAGACGGCTCAGATGGCTTCGAAAGCAAAGAAAGAAGCCCAGAAGAACCTGGCAGACATGATAAAAGAAGAAAGCTCTGTACCAGATGTAAGTATATGTTCAGAAAAATGTGTGGTGTTTAACGCTTTACAGGGCTCACATTTTTACTTTTTAAAAATTTGAACGGGCAACATATTATAGGTTTTTATTACCATTTAGGATTATGTTAGTAGAAATATCAAATCTAAGGTGTTGGTGAACAAGTTTTTGTGAAATAAAAAAACACTACATAGGAAAATGCAGATTTATTATTTTACTCACATGTTGCCAGTAATCCTCACATGAACACAAATATTTACAAAATACAACAAATTGTTTGTGATTGTCAGTCATCTATTATTTACAAACACTCTGCCAAGTAGTGCATACACTGCTGACGCTGATATCACTGATAATATTATTTATCTCCGATTCATAGTCAACTTCGTACACTTCAATGTCACTTTAATTGAACCAAGCGAAATCTCCGCTAAAATTTGAAAAACCGCCAAAATCCATTTTGAAAACACAAAGCATTAAAACCCTGAACTTTATAAAAATACCATCAAATTTAACGAAAACGCTAGTAACTGGCACCTACGCTATCAAGCTATGTGTACAACTGAAAGTAAATAATGGGAAGTCTCGCAAAGTCTCAAAGATTGCATGCTTACAACCCTTAGTTGTCACTGACTCTTTCTGACATTTTGCCCTTTCGGCAGTATAGACATTTTTGGCTGCTGTGCGATGTAAAGGGTTGATGAATAATAGTCACAAGCAATGCTGCTTTAAGTTGTTTGTGACTCGTTAACCTTGGTCGGCAACTCATCTAAGAGAAGGAAACTCTGAATTCAAACCCGGAGTTGGAGTCCCGTAAGGCGCATACAATGTCAATTCCTGCAACCGTACCCATCCCTGGTCGTCTTGACGTAGAGTCTTGCCACTGGATATGGTGGGCTCGGACGAGAGAGTGAGGTTGACGCTGCGCAACTCTTCCTCACTTTAAACAAAAGTCACCCGCGCAAGTCATCAGTCACCAGACGACTCGATGGTCATCGTCGGTCCGCGACGGACGAACAAGTTGTTTGTCTAAACATCCAAAATTTTGATAGGGAAAGTAAATTCTTGTCCCAAAGAAATGTACATTGAAAGCATGGCTTTTGTTATGGGAATTATCATTGTTTTTGGTTTTTTAACTCGTACTGATATATATTATAAACATTTGACCATGTTTGTCTTTCTTTTTGTTTATGATTGAAGTATTTTAAAAATTTAATCATACTGTACAGTAAGTTTTTTTATTTGTTACTTCCATATCCTAACTCCATAAATTTTGTCAATTCATAGATGATTGAGTATGTGACAGACTTGCTTGAAAAGCAGGGAATGTCTGAGACTGAGGTTACCATGTCGGTAAGTACAAATTGAGCAAGTCTTCATTTATTATTGAGGTTGTACACTTAAGTTGAAAGCCACTTCAAATGACACACACTCATCATGTCCCTTTCTTAAATTTCTCACATTATATCTAAGTTCACATTTGTTTCCGTCTGTTAGATATGGAACTCTGTGATGGCTGCTGTGGAATGGAACAAAAAAGAAGACTTGGTAGCAGAACAGGCTCTCAAGCATCTTCGTCAATATTTTCCACTCCTGAAAGTGACTGCTCGCTCTGGCAAGTCTGAGCTGGCATTGATGCTCAAGGTTCAGGAATTCTGTTATGAAAATATGAACTTCCTCAAGTCCTTTCAGAAGATCATTATGTTACTCTACAAAAGTGAGTTCTCTGAGAATTGTCTACTTAAAATTAGATTGATTGACTGAAGATTAAATTCAACCAGATATTGGGAAAAAACTTAGTCCTATTGTTTTGAAGGACAAAAAAAATTAATTTTTAGCTATATAAGAATATGAAAGGGACGGGGATAGCGTATGAAAGCATTATCGAGGTTAATTAAAATAATTATGATTCAAACTGTCTTAGCACAACAAAAATCTGTCCATATTGATGACTGAAGATTAAATTCAACCAGATATTGGGAAAAAACTTAGTCCTATTGTTTTGAAGGACAAAAAAAATTAATTTTTAGCTATATAAGAATATGAAAGGGACGGGGATAGCATATGAAAGCATTATCGAGGTTAATTAAAATAATTATGATTCAAACTGTCTTAGCACAACAAAAATCTGTCCATATTGATGGACTGTATTTTTACCCAGCTGCAGACGGCCACACCTTCTTCCTACACCACTGGATTAACTCATTCCCGACGGTTGCGCCTACATGCATCCTTTCGGGGCTTCTCCTGATGCGTCCAAATGCGTCCCGGCACATAGCGACACACCTCTCATTTTTAGTTAAAAATAGCAATGAAATCTCACGTCCCTCGAGACTTCCTGCTATGGCGTGATTTTAATTTAAAAACCGGAAGTTTTTATCTTGTTTCAATTTAAAACTACGTGTGCTTTAGAACAGCACGTCTATATGTAGCATGTGTTCGTCCGAGGTGCCAAAAATCTATTTTTTGGCCATTGTTCATTAATTTTTCGCCGCTAATGTTATATTTTTATTAAACCTTATTCATTTTTTGATACATTCATCCTTATTTCATTAACATTTATTATTATTTAGCAGCTTAAAAAATATTTAAAAAATGTAAATCAATTTTCTCGGGAAAATAAATTAAGTACGGAAGTAGTACGGCCAGAGGGAATGAGTTAGAATAAAAATAAATGTTCCTTATACCTTAATTAATTTGGCATTTCATTTGTTAATGTTTGTACAGAATCTGACATCTTTAGGCAGTTGTGGTTGTATTGATTTCAACTTGATTAACTTTAAAACTTGCTTAGCACTGTTTCCATAGATATTAAATAGAATGTATGGTAATTGAAATGGATCCAATATCATGGTTGTATTCTGTACTTCAGATGAGGTTATAAGTGAAGATGTGATTCTTAAATGGTACAAGGACAGCCACAGTGCCAAAGGGAAGAGTGTTTTCTTGGACCAAATGAAAAAATTTGTGGAGTGGCTTCAGAACGCTGAGGAAGGTAAGTTGTGTTGCTAGTTCAGTTAAAACATTTATCTCTAGGTTCTTTGCACTTAGCTCTTGCACATCCTTTTTCAACTTGTCAATATGTGGACTATTCGATTGCAAACATTAAAATGCTTTTAACCTTTTGGAGGTAAAAACCTGATTGGAATTTATATTTTAATTTATAAATAAGATTTTCAGGATTATGGTGTATTTTATCTTTTACAGAGTCTGATGAGGAAGAAGGTGAAGAGGATTAATGTATATCTACTTAACCTCATCTTGAGCTCTCGGCTGCTAGTATATCTCTGGGCTCTTTTTCTCAAATGTGCTTGTATTATGAACCTTTCTGGTAACCTTGTAATTGGGGAAAGAATTGATTACATCATAGCAAGCACCTGATATTTATTCTTTTTATTTTTCTGTTAAAATTTTAAACCAAAATACCGTACATGAACTTAATTTCCTTAATTTTTAAATACCAAACTATTTTCAAATGCCATGTATATTATAGGAGTTTTTATCTTTTTTGTTTCCATTAATGATCTTGCAGCATTGTTCCATAAGTCAGTTAATAATTTGTCCTCCTAATATGAGCATAAAATGATGTATGCAGTTTAGTTGTATCATTCCCCATAGACCTGGTTAGCATTTTTGTGCTTTTGAAATGCATTTTTAAAAACAGCGAGGTAAATACCACCAGTCTGAACTTAGATGTCTTTTGAGAGTCACCTTTTAAACTGAAGAGAGTATAGATGCAATGTTATTTTCCTTAAGATGTGTAGTCCTTTGAACATTTCTTCTCACCTTTTTATATCCAGTGAAGATGTGCTGTAGCATGTAAGCTTCTGTCTTCATTTATGAGATTGTGTCACTCTATTTGTTTGTCAGCTCTATTTAAATCAATTTCAAGTCACAAGTCATTTTTTAAATACTTGACGGTCGCATTGGTTAACTTTTATATTCTGTTTTTGTTGGTTGCACATTGAGAGATAAGAATGGCTTAGTAACAGTATTTAGTGAAGAAGTAATGTCAATCATTTATTTTCTACTCTTGCAGAAATTATTTTTTAGCATGGTATATTTGAAAAAAAAAACCATATCCACTGTCTGGATTTTTTGTGTGTGTTAAGTCAGGTGGGGGATGTGTTGTGTAAATTTTAACATTTGCATCATGTCAGAAAAGATACAGGATGTTTTTCAGTGGTCACCATGTTACCATACTCTTGAAGTTGTGCTTGTGTGTACCATGACTGTGTGCATGCATGTTTGCAGTAACTCAGGTATTTGAGCACCCAGGAGGACACTGGGCGACACTTGCTGTCACAACTTGGGGAAGAAACACTTGTTTCACTTTTTGCCTTATTCAGTGCAGTCTTTATGAAGTACAAATGGTTTCTGTGTGATGGAGATTGGTTTTTAATAATTTATTTTTCAGACACATTTCCTATCCTATTGAACCATCCGTATATTTACTCTATGCTTAGAGATATGAAAGTTCACAGCCATTAAGATTTTTTTCATCTGCACAGATAGTTTCATGATATGACCATGATTGCAAAATTTATTTTTCTTGTGTAAATAAAATATAAGTACTTGAAAGTGTTTTTTTAATTTAATCTATTAGTTTAAATCAATGCTGATTAGCAACCGTACTGGTATTAAAATTAAATTCTTATTCAAAAGGTTTTCGCAAACTAACATTTCTGATGGAAGCAACAATATTAATTTGTACCATACTGTCGGAAACATAACAGTTATGTGGGAAAAAGATCTACAACAGCTGAAAGTCCAAGCATGGAAAAGAAATGCATTAGTTAGGTCTGAGTGGAAGGAAGTGGTGAGGCAGGCCAAAGCCCTACATGGGCTGTAGCGCCACAGGGATGGGATGGATGTCAGTAACAGTTACTACACTACTACTACACATCCGGTAGTAACAAACTTCTTCAGGGATAAATAGCCTTACTTTGGAGGGGTTCTCTCTTATACTGAGTAGAGCCATCATCTTGGCAATTCCTGTTGCTGCAGGGGGCCTTGGTTATTGAGGCTCCAAAAGTTAAGAGGTGGAAAAAACATTTAGCTTTGAATAGAGAAGGCACAAAACTGAAACGTGGCAGGAGGGCCTCCAGAAGTCAGGCAATGGATCAGCTTAAACTATTTAGTGTCAGTGTAAGACAAATGATTAACATTTGTGACTATTTCACTGCTAAAAATAATCTTAAATTTTATTTGGTCAGTCAGTCTCCAATACTAACTACAAAGGTACACCAAACTATAGATAAATGCCAGTGAATTCAGTGAAGAACAACTTTTTTTTAAACTACAGGTAATGTATGCTTTAACTTTAATCTTAATTACCCCATATCCCTCTGGTTACCACGCTGTAACATAAATGGTTTAAAGGGCCTTCAATTTTATATTAAGACTATCAAAATGGCTTGAACATTTATTTAAAGATGCTGGTTTCCATCTTTATTAAAACCCAATTGCCAGCAATCTTTTGGAACACTATTCAATTATTTAGTGGTGGCAGTATCCTTTGATGAAGATAGCTTCAACTTCAAGTTGTTACACTTACATTGATTTGAACTAAGAGAACTAGGATGGTCAGAATAGCACAGTGTGTTACCGTACCAACTGCTCTAATGAACAATGACAACATTGATGGTCAGAATCCATTTCAATGGCATATTTTTTCAGGTTATCTAGCACAGCAGTTCTCAACTCGTGACCCTTTTGGAGGTCAAACGACCATTGGAAATTGTATATTTATGAAATAGCAACAAAAATCATTTTATGGTTGGGGGTCACCACTAGGAAGTTTGAGAACCACTGATCTAAGCACAATGTATAAGATGTTGAACAATAATGGTACTGTATTTTGGTCATACCGGGTAATAAAGAAATATTTTGTAAACTCCTAGAAATTCCATAATTCAATGTTTGTGATAATGTTGCAGTTTTTCTTAAACCAAAGTTAAATTGGAATATATTTTTATCTTCCATATTTTAAATGTTCAGGATTGTTATTACAGGCATTGCATTTAACATTCTTTATTCAAAATCAATATTACAGGTATTGTATTTAACATTCTTCATCTATTCAAAATCAATTTAATTAAAATTAAACATTCAGTTTCAATGTTGGCGAATCACAGACTGATTATTATAATTTTTTTATTACCATTTTCAACATATCAATATGGATAACAGTAACTGCTATGTTGAAAATATTTAATCTGCACTGGAACATTATCTAAGAAGCAACTTTTGAGATTCATTGTGTAAAAAAATCATTTCATTTTTTATTTTATTAAAGATTAATATCATTTATATGGGAAATGAATTCATACATTTATTCAAATAACCCAGAAAAATATCAGAAAGTAAATAAAGATACAAAACAAAATACTGAATGAAATCTAAAAAAAAATATTAAAAAAAAAACTCCAAGCAGCTTGCACCAATAAAAGTCGGGGAGATGATTATTTTCAGTCTTTAAACACAATGTTTCTAAATACAGCAGTTTTATCTGTTAATCCCAGGATATAATTTGTGACCAAGCATAAACAAATTCTGAAGGGGAGGAATCATCACAAAAGCATTTGAGTCACATCAATCACTCCATATAAAATTGAATCATGCTGTCGAAAAAAAAATCTAAAATACACTAAGTCATTGATTGTTTAGATCATCATATGAATTAAGCCTGGTAAAATAATTCCTTAATGAAGTTTCTATTTCTAATGTGTAAGAGCTATGTTCCCAAGCAAAAAAAAAAATAAGGGGACAAATATTAAATACATAATTTTTTATAGATGTAATGGGGCCATCAAACTACAATAATTGTGACACACATAGAATGTTTAAGATCTTCACAAGTTTATTTCAATATCCATGTCACTTCAAAATCTCTATTACCGCATTTTAAATGCACAGGCCATAGGAACATTTCTGTTGAGATTTCAGTGTAACAACCTGATAGCATTAGTTTAGAAGAAATAGAAGTAATAGTAATGACATATCACAACAAGCTTGTTTTCCTGGCATAAAAGTTCTGGAAAGCAAAGATTTTGTTTTCATTTGAATTCCCATTAGAATGAAAATATCATTAGAATGTTGCTTCTCTAATAGAAAAAAATGTTTTAATATTTAAAATGTATGTATATCTCAAATCTGCGCTAAAAATATAAGTTTCAATTATTAAAACATCTAAAATATTCATGAACAGATCCACTGAGGTCAATAATGAAACGTTTTTTAAAACTCAGATCATTTGAAAGACAAGTAAGGTGTAATGAAATAAAAGATTTTTGGGTTAAAGATTCATTGATATATAAATAATTACAGTATTTAAACACACAAAAAATGTCCTATAAAGAAACGGCAGCATTGATCATCACCATCTTATTATAATGTTGTAGCTCTTCAATTGTTTTGCTGCTATGAACTATATGAATATAGGAATAAAAAAACCCAAGAAAACATCAACAGGCCTAATTGATATTTTCACAAGGTATCATGATTTACCCAGCTGATAATTCTTTGTTATAAATCAAAAGATAACAAATGAAAGAGTATTTGGAGGATATTTAAGCATCTCACTAAAGCATTTGTGTTATCTAATACCCTCTGAAATGGTGTAGTATTAGGGTTCAAATCATGATTGGAAGATACGTGATAAATTTGCAGCTTTTTGTATGACTGGTTCAGATGGCACCAACTAATGCAGTCTTTCTGAACAGACCGGTTGGTGCATTACAATTTAAACAAAAATATGAACAGACCTGTTGGTGCGTTACAATTTAAACAAAAATATTGTCATTTCTTGCTCAATATTTCCTGAGACCAACATCCATAACTCTTGAGTATGCATTCTGCTGGTGAGTTGTTTTTTTTTCTCTCTCCATGTTAACACAGAAGAACCAAGTAAAGGAGGTGTTCACACACAATTTATAAATCATTATGACTACATATGAGGGGCTTGAGAACAGGGATATACCCTGTATGTATATGGCATACTATGGATGAGCAAAATTTCATTACATATGTTCTGGGTGGTCTCTTAAGCAATCAATAAAATTCCTTGGGTCTACCTCCCTAGTACAAATCCTATGTACTGCTACAAGCAAAGGGAACCTGAAAAACATGGTGAAAATGTCATTACTTTTCAAAACATTAAAATTAAAGCAAAGAAAATGAATGATTTTTATGAAAATAACACAATACTGATAAAATACTATGGAAATCTAAGGTTCTCTTAATGACTTAACGTAAAGCATTTAAGCAAATTTTGTTTTTGCTATTGGCATTATGCATATATATATATATATATTTTTTTTTTTCAACAGCCGACTTATTGATCTAGCATATTTGACTTACTGATCTAGAATGTTAACTGACTTACTCATCTAGCATGTTATTTGATTTACTGATCTAGCTTGGTATTTGACTTACTGATCTAGCATGTTGTTTTCCTTGAGGTATGCATAGATTTCCTTGGCAATGAGGGGACCTTGAAAACTCTGGCCTCTAAGAATTTCTTTTTCCAACAAACGAATATCCTGACAAAAGGATTATCAATAATATTAATTTTTTTTTTTTTAAATGCCAAAGGATTAAGATGTAGAACTTTCTCAGTATCGGTAGTCTAAGGAAAAAAAAATACTACCAGTGCAATAACTAAAAAGTTATTAAGAGGTTGAATATACCTTCTTGCACATAATGCATATTTGACATTGACGAAAATTTTAAAACTATGTGTGTCTTACAATGTGACATGCGATAAAGCCTACCATTGATAAATTCCTTAAATTATGTTTCCAGGAATGTGATGGCTTAAAGTTTACTTACGACAGGGAATTCATTCATATACCAATAAAAAGTAAAGTGGATGAAAATATTAAAAATGAAACTAAATAAAGTGGATGAAAATATTAAAAATGAAACTAATTTGAAGAATTATTGTTTTAAAACCCAGGGATAAATTGTTGAAACAAATTTGTACATTTTATAAGTAAATAAATAGCCAAATAAAAATAAACATATGCAAAAAGTAATGAACAAATTTTAACACTAAAATTACCACTCCAGCCATTCCCCGTTTCTGGAAGTCAGAATTTTGAAATTAAGTAGAAACTTTCCAAGTGATGCCCTACATCAATAACTCAAAGATTGGTTAGAGAACTTAATGGGGAAACATATTGTTTCCTGTGAGAGTGTCTTGTACATAGGAGTGTACGTAAGTTTTGAAAGCCTGATAGTTGAACAGAATTGGTGATTATATAATGCAATAAATCATATTAGCTATGGTGATTCATGAACTTATTCGCACAAAAATAAACTACCGGTACAAGTTTTAAATAATTCAATTGGAAAATATTGTATTATTGTATGCAGGTCTTTTTTAAAAAAACAAAAAAATTGCTGACTATCGCAACCAGACGGTTTCTTGATGATATAAAAAGCATCTCAATGTTGAAGTAAAAACAGTAATGAAATACAACACAGACACACAAAATTAAGGCATGATGGTGTTCACATGTTAATATTTATTACATTTTCAACCAATCGCAATTTTTTAAAAGGGAAACTTTTAGCAAATCTTTCTCGATGGAATCCTAGCACATATTTATAGCTACAAGTGGAAAGCATCATTTCAAGATTGAGTCCATGTTTTCTTCTTGTGATGATAAT